TTCATTCCCTGTACAGTATTTTAGACTAAATTATCATCGTACATAAGTGTCTGGTCTAAACTGGTGAGTGAACAGAAAATAGAGGGAAATTTTTGCAGTGATAGTTTATTCAGACATATAAAAACGTACAATTCGATATAGATATCCCAGGAACAGTAATATACTGTATTTTAGTTTATTTATTAGTTTATTTCTTACGGATGCAACATTTTTCATTATTTTATTGTTGGCTTGAAAAAGTACAGTTTAAAAACATTTTAAAAATGCACGTGAGCGAATGACACGTTTGAAAGATGTAATTAGAAGATTAAAAGAAATTTAAAGTGAAGAATTCCCAAAATTCTGTATTTTCATTCCCTTTTACAAAAGATTTCATAATCAATTCCTATTTCATGTCATTACTTTACTTACTTGACCTTAAACCATACAAAATTCTAACCCCATCTTAACATTACTAAATCATTACATACACTTGTGTAATACTTTCTTACATTTTTTAATCGGTCACATGTAGCAAGATGACAATCTGACTACGAAAACATGAGATAAATTTCAGTTTTAGCAATCAAAAATTAGTTTGTTTTGAACTTCCTTAATATGTATTAATTTTTTAATTATGTCATTAATGGAATATCACCTTCTTCATAGATCAATTGCATGGATTGCATTATATATATATATATATATATATATATATATATATATAAAATATATATATATATATATATAATGGATTTATAACCTGTATGTAGTTGAAAAGAAGGCAATGAAATGTAACAGATTCGTCGTATTTTGCAAACTTTGTTGTTCTAGCTTTGCTAAAAACAATAAGTGACTTTTTGGGTCTGAAATGTCATAGAAACTACTTTTATACTTTCGCTTATGTTATACTCAGTTCAGAAGGCAGTGACATTATTCGATACTGGTATTGAGAGCTTTCCGCGAAAAAGCCAATCTCGTAGGGGAACAAAATCGACAGTGCATCCACAACCTGGGTTTCAAGCATTTCTCCTCCTATACACTTTAGATGATCATAAGTAGATGGAGCAGGCATCGGAAGATACAACATTCATTAGAGGCGTCGTTTCCATCAACCGACCAAGATAACAATTTTCCCCCTGTTCAGACTTTGAGTTTCGAGAAAGACCATTCATGCTACGCGCATACTGTTCTGTTTCTACTGCCCGACGTCTCTTCAGGCATCATAATCAAACCGTCTCAACTGGGCAGCTACTGTGATAACAAATTAAGTGTTATGATTTCAGCTGAGGAAGTTGTATTTTCACAAAATGACCAAAGATGGTTGGCTGCCTTATCAAATGTAACGGTGGTCTTCTAATTCACTACCATGGTTTATTGGTAGAGTCATGTGTTACCTGTACAAGGTTGCGAACTTATCAATAGTTAATAAGGCTAGTATTAATTATGGTCTTAGTAAGACTTAAGAATGAATGATGCATCGAAAATACCATATTCAGAAGGAGATAAATTCATGCTGGGTGACGACTGAAGGTGAGATGAAAATCTGTACCACGGCCGGGTTCGAACCAGCGACCGGTCGGTCAGGCCGCGGTCCAGATTTTCATCTCACCTTCAATCATCATCTGGTATAAATACTAGTCTGCAGAACTACGGCTTTCTCAGATAGCCAAATGATAATGGGATAAGTTCTTTATTTTTCATAGGATTTTTGTCAGTTGCATGCTAAGGGAGTAAATGAATTGGATTCACTGTGAATGTTTCACATTCCTTAGCTGAATGGTATTGAGTTTTCAGATTTCGAGATTTGGAGATCACATTAACCCTTTTGAGGTTCACGAGATAGAGGAAGTCAAAAGGATAAAATTCATTCAAACTGGCTTGTATTTCAAACAGGGTGAGAGGGATATTCTCCAATGTGTGAGGTAAAATTATTAAGTATATGCTGTTACGCAACTTTGTGAAAAGAGTTATGGGAACAAATGACAAGTGTATGAGATACGTAACTGTAAATAATATTAGCAAATGCAGATATAATAAAAAACAGCAGTTAAATCAAGGTGTGTGAGTGATAAAAAGGTAGGATGTGAAACTTTTAGAATGGTTGAGGATATCCTTTGGCAAGGGGTTGGTTATTAATAACAGTTGAACTCGTCGGATTACAAAGGCTTTAGCAATACGTAATTGAAATCAGAGTTCTCTTTGTTTAATGCCGTGAGTTGCATTTCTGCATTAAATTGTTACCCTGTATCAAATAAGTGCTAAATAAGTGTACTACTGGCTGAGAATGAATAACCAAAACTCAGACTCCTACGCAGATGCTTGATTAACATAGTGAAAAGCCATCTTTCTATTTTGAAATGACAGAAAAGATTTCTTGCTTAGGATGAGAATGAATGTGCTTTAGTGTTTTCCGAGCCTTGATATTTTGTTGTGTATGTTAAATTACCAGGCTTCGTGACATTCTCATCTCTAACCCTACTAAGCCCAGTGATGAAACACCCACAATAAATATCTATCTCAGAGAACGCCACACTACCAACTTCTCCTTATTATTCCTACTTACTTACTTCTGCATGCACACGTGGACTGATGAGTACACTGGAGGTTTACGGGTAATAGAAGATTGTTTCATCTGAACAGTGTGAATAAAAATGCTGTTTGATGGAATACTAAGAGACGTGCAAATGGACAGACTCTGGACAGTGCACTTCTAATCCATCTGTTGATTCTAGTCACTATATTACCTTATTTGAGACTTCAAGTGAAAAGCATCGTAGCTTTCTTACAAAGTATTGTGCTCCTCTTTCTCTCTCTCTTACTGGTGCTCCATTTCTACATGAACTCTTTCAGATAATCAATAATGAGTAAAGATTGTTGAAGTAGCAAACATGTGAATGTTGACTTACAATTCCTCTGCCAATTTATCAGAAATTTCCATTTAACATTCCATATAGCTGATCTAACAGGAAACAGTTACATAATGATAGATCTGTTAATTTTTGCTCTAAAAGCTTTGTGTCCCTGGTACTTTTTCCTTTACTTCTCAGTCACTTCTCGAGAAAGTCTAGCCGTTGCTAAATCTCCTATTTCATTGTGAACACATTTTGCAAATACTGACAAGAGTAACAAGGAAACGCTGTCTGCTCAATGACGTTCGGCTACCATAACTCACTAAAATTCGCTAATATTCAGTATGTGTCAGTTAGGCTTATCATGCTAAGAAGGATGAAATTAAACTTGATGAGTTTACCAACACTATTACTATCTCGAAGGCATAATTTTCAACGAGAAGAATTGCCATATTCTGAGGTCACTTCCTTTTTAGCGGACTTTTGTAGGTCACTACTGCCTTGTACTTTTCACGCCACACTTTTCACCACAGTCATTTGTGTAAGTAGATATGTACGTGCTGCATTTTAAGACGGATACATTGAAAAAATTCTTTGTCCTTTTGGTGCACTCGCGTATCATTCACGAAATTCAAAATTTGATTTACAGATGCTCGAATATATTTTCCAAAACCATAAGTGAGCAAATATTTAATCAATTACACTCATATATTTGGATTTTAAGGAACTGATTTAATACCTGTAGGTAGTTGAAATATTTGGTCTTGTGACCAGGGATGACTTTAAAGCTTACCCTTACAACTGATTAGACAACAAATTAAATATTTTTTTGTGGGAACTTTTTTCCCCAGGCAGAATACAGAAACCTGATTCTAGGATGGCCTTTAAAGTCACTCGTGAGTACACATTTCATGGGATTATGGTTTTCACAATACGTGCATTTTAATTACTTGAACATCGAAAGGTAAATTGAAGTGGTTGAGCCTCACCTGAGATGCTAGTGAAAGGTGGAGAGACTTTAAAGGCCACCCTAGCAACGATCGACATTAGATTTCTTCATTTCGGCTGGAAAGGCAGATTTTCACAAAACAAAGTAGTCTGATTAGTTATTTCAGTTACTTCTGTGGTGGCCTTTAAAGTCACTCTGAAAAGTATCTACTAATGAGACTTGATGATAACGAATGATAGTGCAATGATAATGCTTTAGATTGATTAGTGTGACGATATAAATCACTTTACTATCAAAAGCACCTCATTTAGTGACAGTGGAAAACACACCAATTCACCATAGAATCCCCAGGTGTGAAACCACGTAAATCGACAACATATATAAATGAGAGTCATTTCAACGAAGAACCCTCAAAGGTCTACATTAACAAAGATGAATAGGTTTTTAAATTCGGTATAAAAGATGTGATCGATATTACGAAATGTGATTAGTAACGTTAGTAAAAAACTGTAAGAACCTCTGAATAAAACATACATCGCCTGAGAGGTGCAAAATTTAAGAATAACATGCGTGCTACCACTTGTATTTTGAGATTTACATATTTTCGTAAGAGAAAAAAGTAACAATAATATCATGATAAGAACAATGTGAACGCAGACAGATTATTTTCGGCAAGATCTGAACTGATTGTTGAAACGTTACCGTGAGTTGATAGGTTATTAAAGTGAAATGTATACTAGACAAACAAATTTTGCGGGGGGGGGGGAACAACACAGAACATTATTAAAGACAAACATGACTGCGTTAACATTACAAAAAATTTGGATTGGAGGAAAGAGTTTACCTTGATCACATTGATCAATGATTTTGTTTTCACGTGCCTTACAAGAACGACATAAATCTGTATGCATGTGGATGAGAACAGAAACTTCCTAACGAAACCATCGTCATATTCAAGAGGTCAGAATTATTCTACTGTAAATTATTTCCTACGAACATATTCTCTCCTGCTGAATTCTTTTCATCACACATTGACTGTGACATCTGAGTATTTTGTCATTCCGAGGATTTAACAATCGATCGTTTTATGTCTTCTATGACGAAGAAAAGGACAATTGAGCAAGCAACGTCTCAGGAAGTTTCCAATTTCCACTGCTACTGTCACTATACACAAATAAGTGTGTTCAACAAAACGCTGCTTACATTCAACTAGTTTGAAAATGGTGATCAGAAGTATGCTGATTGGTTTATTGTGTCTATCGATAACTGGTATAATTTTCATATGGTTTACCAGTAATAAATCAGTCAGCCAATGTTCACTGGTAGATGCGATTTGCAAGGACGTCTACTTCAGGCAATGTACACGATCAAGAGATTTATGGCTTGAGTGCATTGGAAAGTTGAACCGACTGAGCAAACAACAAAGTCCATATCTGAGAGAGCTGAAGTCAACCTGGCCACCAGCTACAATCACTGACTTAATTGACAACCAGCTGCCAATAATTAATCTTGCATTGCACATTCCGTTTGATAAGAATGCCGAAAACCCACTAAATAACAAATACTACCATGAGTATCTCAACCTTATATCTAATAAAAGTGTTCACCGTGATCGAAACACTTGGCTGTCAATTTTTCATGGTGGAATGACAGAAGTGGGTTTCAGTGCATCTAATTATGCGCTGTTCCCTCAAACATTGAATTTCCAGAAAGTTATACATGAAGTCGAGAATGGCATCCCAGTGAAAACGGTAAGTCGTTTCAGTAGAAACCATCTAGACAGTTCGCTGGACTCATCTTCCTTCCTGTGTGATTACTAGAAAGTAGAATGCTTCTTAAAGGGAAAGGGGAACTTGTACAGAGATAAGCTTGGGTTGAAAGTGTTAAGATAATGCAGCATATTGATTTGGTTCAGCTCATTCGCAGCTAAAAAACACGGAGTGTCATGACTACCAAGCTATTCACTTAGTTTACTGCGTATACGTGGTCCTTTGGAAAGTATTTCACAGACAGTAACTCATCTTAGCAGATTGACTCCTTTCTGATTGTCTGTTTGCTTGTAAGCTGCCATTCTGTAGCAGATAATAATGGTAAAGCTAAGTAACTTGAGGTAGTGAGAAAGCTTTCTTTCACCACAGTCTATTTGAAAGTGAATTTCTGTAAGCATGTTCGATATTGAAAATCACTCTGTTCGCTTTTTTATAACAATGCGCTTCCACTGGTTATCGTCAAAGCATACCAAGGACCCTATTTGGTATTATCATTCTTTTGTGACCTGCGAAATGCATATTTTGCGCTTTTAATACTTGAGACTCGACTATTAGACAGTAGTAAAGCATATTAGAGAATCTTTGCACAATAAGCTGATCTCATTTTCATACACTTCCCTATCACATATAACTGTTGTTTATTCTGCTGACGTGAATTAATCTTCATCCATCACCTGCGGTTTGACCTCAGGAATGTGAACTGTTTCAGAACAAGTAATACTTAATTCCACATACTTTGCTTTTGAAACTGCTGGCTTATGCTGACAGTTATTATAGCTTCAAAATTCTAAGGTGACATCTTTCAATTAATATTAAAATATTCGAGATGTAATCGCTTTCTACCGTCTCATGACTCGCCTAGCCTAAACGTGGGCTGAACTCGATGCCAAATATATATTCAACTAAAATCTCAAATTAAGATAAGACTGAAGAAGCTTAACCGATAAACACTGTGTTACGTTTCACTCAACTAAATAGCTGTTGTGAAATTTTGTCTCCAGCTCCCAATAAATAATCCAGAGTTACTCGTGCTTCGCTTGCCTAAAAACGTCTGCAACCCGTGCCAAAAGGGAATAACACCCGACCTCGTGATCATCATCAAATCATGCTCATACTGTTCAAGGAAGCGTTCCCGTGCTCGCGAAACATTTATGCAGAAACACTTGTGGAGTGGTATCAATGTCCAATTCGTGTTTGTCCTGGGCATACCCTATCCTGGTGAGTCGAACACAGTCATTTTCGACCGATATAGACTGAGTCATAAAAAGGTTTGGTGGAGGTTGTCAAAAATGCATGACAACGAGAGATGGACACTTATAAAGCGACTGGTGAAGGAAGCCGATTTGCACGAAGACCTATTGATTGGCTCTTTTCACGATACCTACTTCAACCTGACTACAAAGCTCATACTTACTTTGCGTTGGTTATCGGTGTTTTGTGAGCAACAGGTGCCCCTATTCGTCTTCATTGATGACGACTACGACTTAGTCCCAGTTAATGTGATAAAGTTCTACAGAAATCATACAAAGAATCATCTGAGACGAATGACTGGTGGATGCGTTCACGGATCATCAGTTGTTGAAAGACCGAAATCCATAGATACAATTAGTGGTATCTGGGCATTGTCGTTCAAAGAATTCCCATGGAAGACATTTCCTCCATACTTTCATGGAGCTAGTTATATTTTGGGATCAAATATAGTTAGGCATCTTGCTATTGTTAGTGCCTTCACGCAGTCCATTCATATTGATGATGCCTATCTTGGTATACTCATGAACAAACTGAATATTCCACCTCAACATCTGAATATCTTCCCTCTTGTGGCTGGAAAATGTGATATATTATCTGGTGCAATTTGTGTGCGCTCTGATATAAGCAAAAGAATTATGAATTGGAAGACAGGTATGTTGAAATGAAATCAAAATCTTCTGAGTACCACTATCTGTTCAGTGAACTCGTATCCTGCGTTGCTATGTTCAAGATTTTACCTAGTATTCCTCGTCCATATGCACTGAGATTTTTCATTAATCATCTTACTTCACGTCCGGCACGCTACTACTGTAGTGATAGATTTTTCTGAGAAATTACGTCCCCCTATATGCTGTTGATCAATTTGTATTAATACTCATCCATATTTAATTAGCAATACCTACCTTAAAATGGGTTGTTTCAAGTTACACCACACTTTCACATGATTTTTCTTTCTGATATGTGATCAAATGCTATCCAGATCCTAGTGTTTGATCAGTTTTCCTGTCATTATTTGCTGTGTAATCACTTAAAAAAGTGGCGGTCACGGGTACTAACCTTCACGAAAAGCACATCAGCCTCTAATGTGCTAAGTCCTTTGGTGAACCTTTAAATATTTTGAAATATTTAAAAACTTAATAATTTACTTTCTTTGGTCCCCATTTTGATGTTCCCCCAAAGAATAGTCTTTGTGAAATAAATAGATGTTTGTTATATCTTAAAAAATTATTCATGCTGCTCCTGTCTCTTTGGTTTTCTAATCATTGACATTTCTTATAGATAGCCTTTTACATTCATGGAAAAAATCATGGAAAATGAACAAGAACAGGAAAATACATAGAGCTCTGTTTCGTGGCATATGAGCTATAGGGTGGTGAGGTGAAGACATTCTGATAACAGTTGCTTCACAACAAATTAAGCATTAAGATGAAGCCAAGATGATTTATGAATTGGATATTTTTAGAGTAGCATTGTGAATAGAATAAGTACTGTTTTTTAAATGGGATAAGATATTGTTGGCAAACAGTGTTGGGTTCAAATGACTAGAATTACCTAACAAATTCATGACAGAAATGCTGAGTTCGTCGAAATTCGAGTACACTATCTCTTTCTTCAGCAGACAAGGTATTTTCAACCAAGACCAGATTAACGGGATTGGATCATTGGAGAATAATTTATTAGGATTGTGATATAGCCAACAACTTTAGGTATTCGAGAACTTGCCCCACAATGATGCTAAAGAAAAGCTTTTTTCACACCGCAACTGTAAGATGGAAGAGTGTCCGAAGACTAACATGGAATACGTGATGTGCTGAATGGATGCTAGAATAAGCCTCAACTTTCAATTGACTCAAACAAACAAGTTGTATGTAATAGGAGTATTTCAAATAATAAGTCTTTGAGTTATTATCTACTCAGCCGTTTGATCTGAAACCTTATTTAGTAGTAAGTCTTTTGAAAATGATGGTACTACTCAGCACTGAGAAATCAAATGCCCTCTTTTTTTAACTTATAAGTTTAGGTGAATGAAAAAAACAGCAGACGTATTCCACAAAGTTGACAAATATCGAAAGCTATGGATTGCAGCTTAAGGCAAAAATATGACTTCATACTGAAGTTAGTGCTGATGATGTCGTCAAGAAAGACGATAAAAGCATTACGATTAAACAACCTAGCTCAGAGAACACAATACAATCAAGATTTTTATGACCGTCATGATAACCTGTACTTCGAAACTCGAAAGCGATTACTGCCAAAACAATAATAGCCTCACTGATTTGAAGACTTAAGTGTAGAAGGTGTTGGGAGATAAGTAAGGTTATGATACTATTCACAAGATTCTCAGTAAGTGGGTCTCTTAGAACTGATCGCTACGCAACTAATGAAGACTAGGGTACATTGAAAAATACTGAATAAACAAACAAAATATGTTAACAGACAATGAAAGGTATTAGAATGTATTTTTCGAATATGATGATGGACAAAAGCCAGTTCCGTGCTACACCTACTTCTTTGATATACGATGAGGACCCAGAAAGTTTCATCTGATAATAAGCATTCGGAAAGCATTCTGCCAAAGAATAAAATACTAGGTGGAATGTGACCAAGATGCTCAACCAAAAACCTCAAACATTGGATTCCTTACTACTCGAGGACTCTAACCAAGTATCTACACCAAACTTCATGCCTCAGGCCAGGAGTCAAATAATTCATTGATCGGTGCTGTACTACAGTATATTTTCTTGATCTTTTCTTCTGACTTTGTGGACACATTGCGAAATGATCGATAGAATTCAGTTAGCACTCAGGACTAGACAATAGGAAATTGGTTACCCTCCAGTGGCCAACCAAAGCATCTAATCCAGTCACGTAGGAGTGCAATCGTGACCCGAAAAGCTTAGTCGTAAAGTCAGTGACTGAACAGTGGGTGACGCAGGTTCGGATCTGAGAGGAGGATATCAGTTCCGTAGAGGTTGCAGACACACCTTGTGGGCGAGTGGAAACAAGCTCGAAACCTAGTTCCAGGACTTTATGCTAGTTGCATCAAACAATTGACATTATGCACCTTGCATAACTCTCTTTGGAGCTCCATATGATGTATTCTGCATACTACATACTTGAGCAGTTCCATGAAATGTCATCACTTATTGCATTTCTCTGAACACTTTCATTAAGTTTAGCTGTCAACGTTTAGCTCATTGAGAGTGTGAGAAAATGCTTTGACAGTTTTCCTAGGGGAATGTCTGAATTCCAGAAAACACATTAGTATCGAGGCTATATTCAGTAATATCTCATCTTTCATCTCGAAAAAAGGCTTACAGAAAATTATGTTAAATTCAGACAAAACATTGAAATTAAGCTTGTTTGACAAATATACCGAACGGTCTACCAGTATTATTCACTGGAATACAATTCAGACATACTTTTTTGTCCATGGTCGCATGAAGATAACTCAACCACTTTGATATCCTCTGTAGGCTAGGTAGTAAGATTTTCATGTATCTACAAACAGGTGCTGAGTAATTTCTGTTGCATATCTTCCCTGTTAATTCAAAAAACAGAGATTAAGTTATCATTCTCTCCCTAGACATGAATAACTTAGTCTTCAGGATTGTCGCGCTGTCCCATTCTATTGTGTGGTAGTGTGAAACTGCACCCTTAGTTATGGCCGAGATTTCATCTGGATTCCATATCTTACTAAGATCTATCAACTTTGATTTAGTTAGTTTTTTGTGTTCGGATAACCTATTAGATTCTCGTTGACTGCTTTCACTTGCGCATATGACCTTCCAATAGTTTCAAAAGATTAAGCAAACTAAATTACTGTGCCTAGTTAGATAATAAAGATCTTCCCACATACAAAGTTTGTTTCTCGGTGAGTTGTGGATTTAAATGTCACTCTAATCTCAACCTTATTGAAAATCCTACGTAATGTCTGTGAGGCGCCTTCTTTGTATTGGAATACTGTAGGGGTTTTGAATTGTGGCTCCACAGCGTTGAAATTCTCTTTATTACTATTATTATTGTTGTCATTATTATTGTGGTTGCTATTATCATTACTGTTACTACTAACATCTGCGTTACCACTAGTAGTCAAATTTTACATACAATTATTGAAGGGTTTATTCATTGATTTAAGAGAGCTATTGGTGATGAGTAAGCTGTGTTAACTGTACCCTATTTCATGTCTTAAATCATCTCTCTTACTAGTGAGTTTGTTGAAGCCTGTACTTGGACATTTTACTTAGCCAGCTTTAACTTATATTGAGTGAGACAACTTGAAGTCTTGGTAGTGATCCGAATGTTAAGTTCTTCGATAGATACTAGTGTCGAAACCACCATCTGGTTTCCTTTTTATTCTGCAATCCAACGTTGTTAATTCTCATTCATCACGTTCTAGTTCATAGGTCAATTGAATTGAGCTGACTTATGAATTTATATATTTAAAGAAAGTGACTATGTGCACAGATTTCAATACTACAAACGTATCGATTACATATTGACACCATATTTTTGAACAGCACTAAATTACTGAATACCCACCTGTTCTCATTCACCAATAAATATTTTTGCCACAATACAGGATATTGTTGATCCTATAACAACTGCTTCCGTTTGCTTGCACATTTCATTCGGAAACTTGAAGACTGTAGAACTCAGGCATAGCTGTACGCCTAACATGATCTCCTCCACTGGTAGATTAGTTCTCAGTGTGAGCTCATGCTCATTATTGAACTGATTTCCAACTGCTAGCAGAGTCATGTCACTCGGTATATTAGTATGCCAACTGGTTGCAATGAACTAAGCACTTCTTCACCGTCATCTGAATGTGTTCCATCTAATCTAGGCTTCAAGTCATAAGAGTTATTAGGTGTAGATTTAGATTTAGAATGTTTTCTAATGTGAGCTGGTGGTATTGGTAGTTGAATCTTCTTATATCGAATCAACACCAAACACATGGAATAATGGTTATTCAGTGTCTCCAATAGTAATTTTTGGGAGGTTGTAACCGATGATGTTGACGAAATTCAAGATATGTTCGTGTTGGTAATTTTGAAGAAGGCATGTTCAGAGAGTATTGTTAACAGTGAGACATTTCATTGGTAAGGCGAAATCTATGAAGGAGCTGTAGGATTCACGTTTCTACATCTCTTTCTTTCTCTGTCGTTCTTTCCCAAACCTGTTTTTTGTTTGGAATTTACCGATACACTCACTTCATGCTTTTGTACTACTCAAATTGTCCTACCAAGCTCTTTATGTATTTTTTCTATTGTTGTGTCCAAGTTCTCATCCTGCTCTATTGACGATTATTTATAATCATAATCACAGTCATCTCCATCATGAATGCTTTGGCTAACACTGTAAATATAGCTGTTAGCTTCATTATTTTTAGTGGATTGCACTCCATTATGAGAATTTCTCCCTTCTAAATTGACCATAACTAATATGCTAAGAGATCAGAGTCAAAAGAATGAGAAAAATGAACGAAAGAATACCTTGAGAAAAGAGGTAAATAATAAATTGGTTGGATGGATTTTAAATCCATCCAACTTTCCAGGTAGCTTATCATGCTTATGTTAGCTAGATGCAAATTATTGGCAAAGTTCATTACGATGTTGTGCATGATAATGTGGAGAACTCTATCTGCCAGATGAACTCCCTTTAAATCTTCTTGCCTAGACTGGATAGAGAATCTCAAGCTTCTGGAAAACCTACCAGACCTTATTTGAAAGCAGACAAGTTGCCGAACAATCCAAACTTAGCGTGTTACCATACATTACATGTGTACCTAACACATCCGTGGTGACTGAGTTATTTCGCAGTTTTCTCTAGTGGCCTAGTGGAATGTACAAACTTTAAAGCAGCTATTGCGCCACAACATACTATGTTTCGACTAGAAAAGCCAGTATCAGATGCGGCCGCATTAAATATATAGCAAGAACTCAAATATCTTATGATCAAACTGGTTGGTTTTTTCCTCACTGGCAGGTCTAATAGTCTTCGCATAAAAGGTAATTGACATTATATGAACTTGTACAGATGGGTTAGGATTTTCAAACTCAATATCAACCCAAGGATAATTTCAGTCACGCTGACAACCTCTCTTAGCAGAAGTTTAACAGTTCGTGAAAGATGGATTACCAGGCTTTTTGGTGTATTTTGAAAATGTCAAACAAGCTACAGAAGTTAGTGAAACTCTAGGAAATATAACGGCTTCTTAGGAGACAGTGGACAGCATACAAGGTGCACATTCTGAACAGCACTATCACCGTCAAGGTTTACCGTTGTTATTTGATTTATTTGCTAAGCATTGAGATGGAGTTATAGTGACAGTGTCTTAACCAGTAGGTACTTAAATAACTTCACGATGACCATCTTGACATTACCAGAATTATGAAATACAGTTATGCACACTGACCTACAAAGAAAGGTAGATTGAACATGCATACGTAACGGCAATACAGTCA